CCGGGCCATCCCGCCCGAGCCTGGGCCACGGCACAGTGGCGTGCTGGGAAAGGGTACGGGCACTGCCATACGGGCTGGAATCCCTGCCCCTTGCTGTGATTCATCCTTCATTTATGGGTTCAGGGAGGGGAGGGCACAGCCGCAGGACACCCAGGTCAGTGGGCCTGGGCAGGCAGCCCCAGGGGCAGGGGGACATGCCAGGCTCCATGACGTCTAGCCCAGGTGCCAACCCACCTTCACCCGGTGAGGCTAGGAAAGGAGCATCACCAGCAAACTCACCTGCACCACCAGCCAGGAGAGGATCACCGCCATCACGGGGTTCCCGCTGGCAGATGTCTTCTTGGCCAGCGCCAGGGCCCGGCCTGTGGGCAGAGGGGGGAGGTTGGGCTGGGGCACCCCAGCGGGTACCAACAGGCTCGGCCACTAGCCAGAAGTCCTGTCCCCACCCTGGGTGCTGGGGTATGGACAAACACCTGGGCACACAGATGACCCAAATGTGCACATTCCATCCGCCAAAGCATCTCCCCCACATCAGGAATGGGGTTCCCTGGTGCCAGTGTTGGTCCCCGGCAGGGACAACATGCTGGGTGGGCTCTGGTGTGTGTCAGCACGCTCCGGGCACTCACCAAAGAGATCATCCCGGGCCAGGGCGTAGAGGATGCGGGATGCCCCGATGAGGTTGCTCATGGCCGCAGAGAGGGTGGCAGCGTAGATGCCCACGGTGACCAGGGGTGGGAAGATACTGATGTCACGCAAGAAGCCGTAGTCTTTCTGCAGGAGGGTCCTGGAGAGGGACATGGACACACTGGCACCTGCCTTGGCTCAGGCCAGCACACCCTGGCAACAGGCACACCCTGGAACCAATGACCCTGGCAAGGGGATGGGTGGCCATACCTGTTGCAGGTGGCACACATGAGGAAAGCCAGCAGGTTGTAGACGAGGTAGGTGAAGAGCACTGCAGATATGGTGCCCCGCGGGATGGAGTAGCTCGGGCGTTTCAGGTCCCCTGTGGGCAGGAGCGGGCAGCATTAGTGCCCACAGGCACAGCATTCCCCTGCTCCCGGTGCCACTCAGCCCGGCACCTCCTGCCATTTGGGACCCTGCCATGATGCCGGTGCAGCCGTTGAACATCACAGCGAAGACGGAGCTGAAGCTCATCATCTGCCCAGTGGTGTAGTCCACCCCGTACCCACCTGCAGGACACATGGGCACAGGCTGTGATGGGCTGTCCAGGGTGGCACAGCCCCACCATATCCCTCTCTTTGATGTCCCCATACACAAACCACAGGAGGAAACCACCCCATAGCACCTGCTTTGTGCCCTCAAGCTCCCCCTACCCTCCAGCAAGCCCCTGCTGATGCAGAGGTGCCAGTGCCACTGTGGGTACGGCAGGCAGGGTGGGGAGAGCCTCTCCTCACCCCCCAGAAAAAGGGGGGGTGGAAGGGGAGAAGCCGGTGAAGGAGCCGTTCTCGGAGCCATTGAAGCGGGGCAGGCGGATGGGCACTCCGATGGGCCGCGTGGCGAAGAAGCTGATGAGGATGGTGCCCAGGACGCCCGCGACGATGAGGAAGATGAGGAAGGTGGCCTTGGCATAGATGGAGGCACCCACAAGGCACACAAGGAGGCAGAGGGCCAGCAGCACGGTGCCGTAGAGCAGCTCATACCAGTAGCTCTGTGGAAGCACGTGGACGCCTGTGCCCACATTTTGCCCTGGGCAGAGACAAGCCAGGATCAGCAGGGCTCGGAGCGGGCATCACCGGGACCTGAGAGCCACTGGCGTTGTGCCAGGCATGATGGGCACCAACTCACCAGCCAGAGGGCTAGGCGAGCTGTGCTGGCTATGCCGGGCATGGTGCTTGGCACACCTTGTAGGGTGCCAGGGCTGCTCAGGTAAGGGACAGCCACTCCTCCGTGCCACCACACATCGGGGTACTCACCAGGTGGGATCCCAAAGCTGTCCACCACTGCCTCCACCAGCCCCAGCACGTAGAGGGCACTGCCACACACATTGGCCAGGAAAAACATGATCCCGATGCTGCCCCCGAACTCCGGGCCTAGGGCACGGCTGATCATATCTTGCTTGTGTCAAGGGAAGATGTCAGCAGCCCAAACCACCATCAGGTGCCCCCATCCCTCCCTCCCAGGCCACAGGGTTCCTAGCCCTAGCGTGGCACCCTGAGGCCGCTGGGTGGTCACCCAATTTTGGCCCACATGCCCTGCCCCGTCAGCACCCACAGCAAAGGATACAGTAGGCTCCTCCGGCATCCAGCGCCCCATTGGTAGCGATGGCACACACAGACAGCACCGTCATGCCGATGATGAAGTACGCCACCGCAAACATGGCCAGGGCTTGGTACAACCCAGCATGGCCCACCACAAACCCTGCCGAGGATGGGGGGAGAGGCCAGCGTGCCCGTTAGCTGGGCATGGACCACTGCTAGGACAGTGTCCCCAGGCAGAGCTCACCCCACTGAGCTACTCGGGCTGCTCCCATCCCCGTGCCCACAGATCCCCCCCAGACACGCCATCTCCTTCCCGGCCCAGGTGGGGATGTCCCTACTCCGGGGTGCTGCCACCTCCCACCAGCAGCAGCACCCA